ACATTCATGCATACATAAACTCACGCGTACACGTGTACAGCAATATGGGTATATATCGCTAAGGAAGAGCTAAGTGCTGGTGGACTTGTAAAGTGATGAACTGTCTTAGAAAGTGTATATAAAAAGGAAATGATAGCTAGCCAGTTTACTTGATTTGTTGTAATAATATGCCTCTTACTCGGAGGATGCCTCTCATATGATCATGTTGAAACTGTATCCTCCTTGAGCGCTTCCTTTTCATATTCATGTAGAACGTATTCTGTATCATCAAATTCTTCAGTAAAATTCGTGATGAAATTTAATTCGGACTGCTTCATCAATTCTTATTTGTCCCAAAAAATGCTTTGTATACTTCTACGCCAGATCACAACTAAGTTGCATCAAAGTGGCTGAATTCCACAGTATCTTATCAAAAAAGGATTTACCCTGTGTATGTATCTTATTTCTTCATTTTATTCATAGTTTATATGGTCCGATGCTCGGTAAAAGTTCACCAAGCAAACATAAAAACTCTTTTACCAAGGAAGTTTTTATTGTAACTCGTCATTAAAAGTGCAATTTTGGACCAAATACTGCTCTTGGAAAGTTTCATAAGCGGGCTTCGAGTGCCAGTACCTTTTTACTTTTCGAATACTTTTCTACCCTCAGCTTATTGACCGTACAAACAATTTCCTAAATGATCAAAATAGCATATTTATAATACTTCTCTTATATTATATTGGCTTAATCTAGCCAATCGCTGTAGATTGGGAAATCCGTATAACAGCATTATTCATAGGAGGCGACAACGGATGCACATTCGAAATCACCTAACCCATACTCACCATAAATTAAGTAACCCAGAAAATTGTCTGGTTATAAGATCCAGTATTTTATGTGCTTTCACAAAAGTATACCAGTGTTGCACAAGAAAGATAAAATATTGTAATCTGCCGGAGCCAAATAATAAGTGGTATATGGATTATCTGTAAACATCTTAATAAAGAAAGCCTTTTTTCTCTAACAAACTATTCTCTGTAGATACGCAGAGAAACTGGGTTTCGATGAATCTCCTGAGATAACATTGTTAGAGAGACCTTCATTTCGTATGGAAATGCATGAAGAAGAGATTCGTTGGTCGGTCTCACCAGATGAGGACGGATGAAACTTGTTGTACTGCAGCCGGTTGGATTGTATAGGATATTTATGTTGACGCAGTCCATGGGACTTCCTCCCTCGTTTCGGGTGAAAACGTGCTGAGCTTTCGTCCATCACATCGATGGACAATCGTTCAGAGCTGGGTGTCATTCTTGTAAAAGTCAAATCTTAACACTAGGCCAAGAAGACTATCCGGCTTTTTTTTCACCTTTTATATAGACTATTCTCTAAACTAAATTGCTCAACTGGGACTAACAATAGGTGTTTAAGTCTATTGCTGCATTCAATACTATAAATATAGTTACAGCATAAATTATACGTTATTAGAAAAAAATGTTGTCACAGTCATAAAAAACTTCTTTTTATTAGTTAAATATAATAGGGTTTTATGATTTATCAATTGTAGTGTTTATTCGATTGCTTGGCAGTTTGCCTTGGTTGATCCTACCTTTTCAATCTTTCGTCCTTGGAAATGGCTCTCAAAATAGACATTGAATAGTTTGTCCCCTCTCGTTTTGTCTGTCCTGAGACAAGTGAATCGATAATTAATGCACTTAAAGCTAAGTTCGACTTATATCTTAAGCGAAGGGAACAATCTTTTAACCTGATGATCGATAAGATGGAACGCTTGAATAGACTGATAAATAAAGTAGCACTTCTCTTAAATTTTAAATTATTAGCTTACTTGCTTCTGCATCACTTAGAACCATTTATAGCTTATTTAATATGTCAAACATAAACAAAAATATATATATTTATCCTCATTGCTACCA